AGCAGAGAGAGAGAGAGAGAGAGAGAGAGAGAGCGGGAGAGAGCGAGGGAGAGCGAGAGAGAGCGAGAGAGAGCGAGTGAGAGCGAGAGAGAGAGAGAGAGAGACCGGACAAGTAGGCGGACCAGGGTCCGTCCGCGAGGCGCACTGCGGTGCGACAACCCGCAAAACACTATTTGCGGCGGTGCAGCCTTAAGATACGAGGGCGGGCAACAGACCCCCTCCCCCGGCGCATTGCGTCTGAAGCTACGGACGGCGGACAGACTGTCAAGATCTCACGTGTCAGACCGCGTGACGAAGAAGGCCCCAACAAGAAAGGCGACGTGCGGACACGAGGCTAGGCGGCTTGGCAGGCCGCCAGTTGGGCGCTTGGCCGCAGCGCGGCGCGCAGGGACGGGGCACCCCCCGCCCCCGCGCCCTGACACCGTGGACGCGGGGCCACGCGTGCACACGGGCAGGCAGAATGGCGGAGATTAGCGCGGGGCTCCAGGCGGAGCGCCGCGGAGCGATGACAGCATAGCATGGAGGGTGAGTGGCGGCGCAGCACCATCGGACGGGGGTGTAAGCAGCTCGGCGAAGGCACGACCGGCGCGGTGGAGGCGCTGGAGCAAAGGGCCTTGACGGGCTTGGGCAGCGGCAAGGTCGGCGGCGAGAGCTGCGCACCTCTGCTGGAGAGCGGCCGTAGACTGGGACAGCTCGGCTTCGCGGTCGGTGCGGGGCGGCTGCTCTGTGCCCGCGGTCGCGGGCCTCGCGGCGGGGACGAGGTCATCGGTGCGCCTGGCCAGGTGGTGGACCAGCGCGGTGCGGCGGTCCGTGCGCTGGCGGCCGTCGCCGTGGCGAGGCGACTGGAGGGCGTCGCGCGGTCCCAGGGCTGAAGCCGCTGGGGCCACGCCCCATGAGGACGGAGGAGCCGCAGCCTCGCAGCCTGCAACAGTAGGAGCGTGGACGGGGCGCGACGGCCTAACTGGCTCAGTGCCCTGCGGGGGGGCTGAAGCCGCCCCCGCGGGCTGGCGCTGGTGGGGGGAAGGGGTTGGTGGCACGGGGGGCCAATCATGATGCCGTGCGAGGGCTCAGAGGTCGGCCGCGTGACCGGGTGGCGACTCGATGAAGCGGCATCGTCGGCAGCGTGGGGTGTCGGCGGGACGTCGTCTATGCTGCCACCCAATCCGAGGAGGATCATAAAAGTCCTCGTCGGCGTCTTGGAGGTGAGCGACGTCATCATGTGGGTGCGGTGCCGCTCTCGGTGGCGGAGTCGAGGTGGGCATCGTGCGGATGCCCGACGGGGCAAGGTTGGCGCTGGCTGGCCCGTCGTCCAGGAAGTCTAGTCCCCCGCCGAAGCCGAACGGGTCGTCCTCCTGTTCGTCGTACATCGCACGTTGGGCCTCGGCCCAGAGCTCGTCCGGGTTCTGCGGGATGTCTGGTCCAGCCGCGGGTGGTGCCTGGTCCGACAGCAGGGGGTTCGGTTCCATTTTGCTGAGTTCAGCCGCTGTAAACCCAGCCCTGCGGTGTGGGAGCGGCAGAGTACGGTGTCTGCGCTCGTAGATGGCGACAGCGACCCCGTGAAGCACGGTCGCTTGGCGATGTCGTGTTTTGGCAGCTTCAACGATGTCGTCGGGGAGGTTGTGCGTGCGTGCCGCCGCTGTGGCAAGGGCGTCGGCCTGACGGTTGAACTCCTCCGCGATGGGCCCGATGAGCCCAAGGTCGATGCCCAGGTCTCCCAGGTGGCTGGCGACTTTTTCGACGCGAAACATGTCGGGCTTGGCCATGACACATCGGTGAATCATTGCCCAGAGCTCCGCGTGCGTGCCCTGCGGCGCTGGATGTCCGTCGATGATGCTTTGGAACCCATCGACCACCGCCTGGTTGTCCACGAAGACGTGCACGGGCCGTTCGGCACACGCCGTAAGGTGGACGATGGCAAGGGTCTCCGCAACCTGGGCGTTCTGCGTTAGGCCGTGAACGCGTGCACTGTAGTTCATGCGGTGGTCGATGCCGTAGTAGACGCCGTAGCCCGCTCGTGCTAGGAGTGGGATGGCTTGGTTGGTGCACGCACCGTCCGTGGCAGCATAGACCCATGTCCATCCAGTGTCGTTGTCAAGGTAGGTGGTGTAGGTGTCCTGGGCTGAAGCCGCAGGATCACCCTCAGGGGGGGGCCGCGGGATGGGCTGTGGCAGCGGGTCCCTCGCGAGGTCGGCCTGCAGGTCGAGGAGGGCTGGGTCTTCGTCGAAGAGCCCGCAGTGTCTTGTGTGCGGCGGAAGACGGGCCCACTGGTCGTCACTGATGAGGGTGGTGAGAGGAACTCTTTCTCGGGCCCAGCACTTACAGTCGCGGACAGTGTGCTCCTGAGTTTCCTCTTCCTCGTCGCAGTAGCGGCACATGGGGCTGGGGTCTGCCGACGTGTTGGATCGGGATCGTCGCTGTTGGGTGTGGTCCCCGCCCGACAGGTAGTTCAGGAGGAGCGCCAGCTGCCAGGCAGTGCATTTGGCTGCTCCTTTGGTTCGCGCGAGCCACGTGCTGGCGAAGAGGTCAAGGCCCTGTCTGACCGAGGCGAGGTAGCCAAGGTCGTGTCGCCGTGGCTTGATCTTCCGCAGAAATGCCCTGCGTTGTGAGGCCCGCAGCATGTGCAGGAAGGCGTTTTGGGGTAGATTCAGCCAGCTGATCGGGCAGCCCCAGTCATCGTACATGATGCCAAATGTGGGCCAGGTCCATCGGAGCTGCTGGAGTGACTGGACGAGTCGCCCGACGGGTCCTCCACCAAACAGGGTCTGGACGTGGTGATGGAGGTCTCTGGCGAGCCCGCAGAGTGTGGCGTCGCGGTTAACCTGCCGCCGCAGGCACAGGAATGCTTCACGCTGCGTGATGGCGTCGATCTCAAGGGCGTGTCCCGGCACGCACACGGCCATGAGAGTCCAGAACTCGACCCACTTGTTCCCCTTGGGGCGGATAGCCGCCTTGAGGGCGTGGTTGTAGGCAGTCTTGGCTGGGCCTGATGGTGCTTGGATGTCGGTGCCCGTGGTGCAGACGCTGGCGGCCAGGGATCGGACGTGCCGCGCCTTTATAAGCATCGGCGACGGGAGCTTGCCAATGCGCGGCAGGCGGATAGTCGCCCTCCGCACACGGGCGTCTGCGGTGGCCGTGAGGTTAAGCGCGGCTGGAGCCGGCGCTGCCTCGGCGTTGATGTAACTCCCGACGAGCTTGAAGGAATCGACCACTCGGAGGGGGCGATCCGCCAGTGTGAGCTGGGTGACGGCGGCGTGCAGCTCATCGGTGAGCGCCCACCCTGCCACTTTACCAGGGTGAATGCGTTGACCGGAGAATCGGTCAAACTTGGCGGTTTCGTCGAGAGATTTCTGCAGCTCAGGAGCGGTGTGGGTAGTGGAGTTGCTGTCGTCAACGAAGGTAGTGCTGAGTGATCGAGGAACGTATCGGTGCTGCCTCTTTGTCCACACGCACATGAGCAGCTTGATGTCATCCAGGGACCACGAGCTGCCCTGGAGGTGACCGTTTGTCCTGGCCAGGTCCCTGGAGTACGCTCCGTTCATGCGGATGTAGCGTTTGTGGTGTCTGTAGAAGTTTCGGCGGACAGTAACGATGTCTTGTGGGCACCCCGCGTGCAGCGCAAGGTTTAGACAGATGTCCGTGATGAGGTAGTCGAAGCACTTCTGTCGGTCAAGGGCTGCTCCAGCTAAGGGGAGGAGTAAAGTCCTGGCG